TCAGTCTTCATATTGTTTCTAACATAGCGACTTTTCCTCATTGCGCGTCAGACGGCAGCAAACTTTCAGTGCGACATCGCGGAGCGGTAAACAACAACAACAACGTTGGCACCGTTTCGAATAATATGAAGGAAATTGATGCGGAAGTTTCAATAGATAATTTTTCAGAGCTGCTAAGTTATGAATTCCCAAAATTTCTTAAGAGGTATTATCAAGGAATAATCTAAGATCTCTCAACTTGTTCCTTAACTTTAGATCTTTGGTTACTGCGGTGTGCAATACGAAATTCCCACAAAATTTTTGATGATTCCTTCCTGAAGAAGAAATAACTTCTGTTCAAATAATAATTCTGTTCACATAAATGTTGCAATAAAATGCAATTTGTCTTTTACGTTAATTACCAAACTTTATGAAAGGGGATTGTCACGACGGTCATAAAAATATTTTTAACTTTGCTCATCAGTTTAAGACACTAATCTTACTTCAACTTTCATCTCCTCCTTTAACTCTTTTAATCATAATTAAAAGCGCAAAATCTCGTAAAAGCCTTTGATATTTCTTGTGATTCCGTTCGCGCTGGTGCCGTGGAGATTTGACTTTACTTTTATAAAAGGACTGGAGTGGCTTCACGGTCGGAACGTACGTCAAAAGCAATTAAACTACAATCGTGCCTAATGGCAAGCTAGATAACCACTTCTGCACCGATCGTACCGAGCAGTGGCGCCTGCCACTACATAGTAGATGTGTGCGATATCGTAAGATCGTGTGGCGTACACGCGTATGAGCATGTAAAAGATGTACTTGTATGTGTAACGCGCGACCTCGACGCGTTGAACTGATTTAGTTTGATCGAAACCATAATTCCGTGAGATGGGAATAAATGGACGTGTCGAGCACGAACATAAGATTGAATAAATAGTCAATAATGTAGGAATCCCGAATGGATCCATTGTGAGGACAGCGAATAGTGCATGAGATACTGTTGCAATATTCCTTGGAAGCATACAATTCCTTAGAAAGTTCTACCTGACGAAAAGGCTCTTGCGGGTAACTCGTTTGATTAACAAAATATTAGTACAGACAACAATGTGGAGGAAAGTAGAAATACAGAATACTCCATTATGTTGACCTTAACAAAACAAACGTGTGAAAATGGAAATCTATTTTATGTTATATTCTGGAGAAATTTGTACATATATATTAAGATATTTATATATTTTCTTCTTATAATGTAAAAGTCTTTTTTATATATGGTGATGTCTCAAGGGTTTGCTCCATTTAAGAATCTTGTTTTTTTCTTCTACCACTCCATTATGTTGATCCTAGTAGAACAAACTGGTGATACTCGAGGTATGAATTTTATATTACATTCCAATGATGTAAAAGCGATTTGTTTTTATAGACATTAAGGCCAATAGTTCATAATCGATTTTTATATTTGAGACTGTCTTAAGGACAGTTTTAAGATGTCATAAACCGATCAGAGAACTGCATTAGCGTCTTAAGACATTTAAGACAATTTTAAAATATGAATGGATTGTAAATATCACTTTAAGATATTTATGTTTTCTCTTTATATAGTTAAAGAATCTTTTTTATATATGATGACATATCAAATTTTTATTTCATTTTTATTTCATCAAGATTCTGTTTTTTCTTCAAATTCTCGAGAGGATGATCCCTTTAATCCCTTTAATCACATTTAATTTGTAATTAGAACGTAAATAAGAATACTATTCAATTCTTTGATATCTATTTTAAAGTGATAATTCTTAAAGAACACTATTCTAAAAGTTAACATTACGTTTATTTACGAATTCTAACGGCATCAGAAATGTCTCAGAATTAATATCCCTTTCAGTTTCCGTTATCTTTCTCCGTCAGGTAAACCCGTTGCACGCTAAGCTCCATAGAGTTAATCTTCCTTCGATGTATCGCCGTTACCGCAAACGCCTCCACGTTTTGGAGGCAGAGGCAGTTATATGCCGTGTGCACGAAGCAATTAAGCACTGGTATTGCAACTGTATTTTGCGTGTGCGTTGGTAAAGTCAGGCTCCCTTAAGCTCTGTCTGATCGTACACTGGCTGTAAAATCATGTGTACCATGCAATTTTACAGATGAATTACGCGCCGTACATGCGTTTATAACCGATTGCCCAAGAAATTATGTAGCGCACAAATAATTATGACAATGTAAAGCAGCAGAATACTGTTTTTATAAGAAGAAAACGATAAATGAAACTTGCACACAAGTATCGAAACAAAAAGATGCAATAATTGTGATATATCGAAATGCGGTTTGCAAAGAACACTTTATGTTTCTGATGAATGCACAAGATAAAAGTTCTCTGTCTTTTCACAATTTAAATTATTATAACCAGATTAAATCGTTCGCGTGGTTAATGTTATAAAAGAAAGATTATTTTCCACGAGTGTGTTTTTGCGCACAATAAAAATTATATTAAATTTATATTTTTCGATGTTATCATTATGAGTTATTCTTTAGACACGTCAACGCTCAAAGTTATCATGCGTACACGCGATGATCGTAAACAATTGTTACCAGCTATTCGAATTAAATAAATATTTAATTATAAAGCTAACGGCACGTGCCTTTCACGAAATGCAGAACGAATGCAATTGCAGGTAATTGCATTGCGTGAGACAGTGAACGATCTACCTCTACTCCATTTATTTATCGTCTCTCGATCACTGCCAATTTTTTTGCGACAGTTCGCTCAGTCGCTTTGCGAAGTAAATCAGCCGTAACTTCATGCGTCCGAAACATACCGAGCGGCATTGCTCAAACGTCAAATTAACCACCACGCGTCGGTAGAAGCCATGCAATTTGCCCATAATTGGAAATTCCAACGTTTATTCTTCCTATATCCTGAGTACGCTCTTATAGAATAATCAGAATAAGAATGAAGTTACGACTTTTCAAACTAATTGGCGCGAATGTTGATCCAATTATAAGTGTTACGGAATGAGGGAAATGTAAAACAATGTGCTTTAATTCATTATTTTGCTAAATGTATTATTTATATTTTACACGTAAAATGTTTGCAAAACATTATCACATGATCATATTAAGAATTTAAGCGCAAAATATAATTCAGAATAAATACATAAAAGTAATCGATTTGTATTTTTTTCTGAAACTTTCTTAGAAATTTTTATTCAATACATTTCTGACATCAATTATATCTTTCGTCATCACGTCAGAAACATTCCAGTTGAATAAATCATTCGTGCATAAAAATTGAATACTGAAAGGTAGTGATTAATTATTTATTTTAAATATTATAATAAAAGCATCGCTATTCAGTGTTTTTAATACACAAAATAAGTAATTTTTAATATTAAATTGGATTTCTGTAAGAAAAATATATTTAAAAATAAGAAATGACAATTTTAAACAGTTTCACGTAAAAGGTAAAAATACCTTTAGAATTTTTCAAACAGTTGGATGTAGTAGTTACTTATAAATTAACCCGTCAGCAAAAGTATATAAGTATATCCTTTTGTAAGTTTTTGGCCAAGATCCAACTGTGGGAGGAGGCCAGCCATAAATGTCATTGAGTAAAGAAAGATACAAATGACGTTAACTTTTGCGCGACATTCTTCTCGACTAACTATCCTCAGTATGTTCAAAGAGGCTACCTCCGATGTGCCAGTTTAAAATCTCATTCATTTTCGCGCTAATAGCCACGGAAACTTCAGCCGCGACGTAAAACGAATTTCCGGGACATTCTCTTATTCACGTGTTGACACGAAGCTACGGCTCTTTCGGAGCTCTGTTTCAATTAAAAGTTCGAGAGGTTTTTTTTTTATCTCTTCCATCCGCTTATGTACGATGTCATCTCGCCGTGGTCGCAAGTTAATGAGTACGCTTAAGCTATACCTACTACTCTTCCATTCTCTCCAGAAGCTCGATTCTCTGTGATTCTCAGCGATTCTCAGAAAAACAGATCGTCAAATATACCGATTATTTTACAAGATGTACTTTGCGTGACATAAATTTGAGAGAGCTAACTCTTCTTCTTCTTCTTCTTCTTCTTTCTCTTTTTTCGCGGAAGCAACTCCTTTTCACGGGAAATGGAAGTGTTCCTTATCGCGATTACGAGTCCATTTATCTCGCATAATATATATACGATGAAGCGAGAGCGAAAAGTTTGCTGTAATCGTTAACATGATAATAGCACTGCGCGAACTATATCTGAGTGAATTTTTCGCATTTAAGAAGAATTTCTCGTATTTCATAGTACGATCGGCTTATCCGTCTGTCTCGTGGAAATTCTGAGGAAGAAGGATACGATAACGGAATTTACCGTACTTCATCTTTACTCTCCTTTGATACGAAACGTGATCTCTAGTAACAGTAACACGACAGCGGTATCGTGTATCACGTCTTTTCTCTAGCGTGCACGACAAATTTCGAGGGTATCGTTGAACGGAGATCAAACAGCGTGACATGCAAAATCGTCGATTTAATAGATCGTTTCAGATCGGTCTTATAAATATCCCATGGAATGCAGGAATACCATACGACTTGAAAATTTTTCACAACATTTTATTTCGTACTTTTTTCTCTTTTCAATCTTTATAATCTTTATATAAATTCCATGATGATCTTATCTTTACTTGTACTACTTAACGAGAATCGACGGTGACAATTGCATTAAAAGTCGTTGTCAAAATACGAAAGTTTGAATGCATGAACTGCAGGGAAATGATACACGCCAGTTTTATTCAGATAGAATGCGATTACCGAGATAATCCTAAAATCCAGTGTTCGGGCAAACATAATTACATATTACGGATTACAACGATTTGTGCGACAACTCTCGTGGCTTGGCGAGATAAAAGCGAAAAATCCTGACAACGGAAATACCGTTTGCGGTAGAAATGCACACGATACGTTCGGTAGCACACAACTTTTGCGAAGAAAAGTGAAAAAGAAGAGATATAAAAAGAGGAGAAACGAAGAGAGAGAGAGAGAGAGAGAGAGAGAGAGAAAGGGAGAGAGAGAGAGAGAGAGAGAGAAATAGAAGAAAGAGAGAAATATAACACGGCCAGGGTCGCCGGTTATTCCAAATCTGATGTATGACAGCCGAGGCTGCCATTTGCTAGCTGTCATCCTTGCCACCCCCGATCCTCCTCTTCTAATACCATCGTCGTGGAAATGACAAACGGTCGAAAGTAGAAAGATAACAAGGTAGCTTTTGGAGAGGGAATGAGCTCTCGAGACGCGCGTCTCGTTGAATCGCGATGCTTTCACAGTAGAAATGATTTTTGGCTACAATCGCACATCAACTTCTTACATTTGCCGTTACTTGGATGTGGATTTAATATCTTACCCTCGTAGAGTCGTAGCGCAAAACTCGATAAGTCCATTTCCAACGATTCTTCGGTGTGTACAAAGTACGCATGAGAGATGACAATACATTTAGAAATAACAATACATATAATTTTTTCCGTTCTTGCTGCCGTACGGGCTGTTATTATAATACATTAGCTTCTTGATGACACGTGATTTTTTGGTTCAACAGTCTGGTCCCTTTTATTTCTCTTAACATAGCATTGATCTGTGCAAGGGGCATGCGATAGCGAAAATTCAGCAGTTGAGCGAAATAGTGATCGACAGATTCGATAAGTCAATAATTGTAAGTCGTATATTTTAGGCAGTATGACAGTCGATAATTCTGATGTGATTCTAAATTTTTAGTATTTTTATTTCAAGTTGTTTTATTGAGATATTCTATTCAAGTACTTTAGGCAGTCCTGTTCATCTAGAAAAATTGCTATAATACATTAACAGGATTTTACATGAGGCACTTTTACAAAACCTCTTACTTTAATGAGAAAAATGTAACTTACTTAATATATATGACTCGTTTCGCTCAACGACTTAATTGAGAAGAAAAATTAAGGGGAGAGGAGAAAAGACATTCGGAAGAATTGGCAGATTACGCGAGTTACACGAGTTACGCGCTGCTCAATACTTGTTCACGCAACATATCAATGTTCGTGAGAGAGAGAGAGAGCTGTCGATTATACTCCGAGTGCACGGAATTACTTACGGCATCCGATCGACAATTAGAGATCTCTTTTTACATGTTCATTGCGTTGCACGGAGAGCGCCGTCACGGCTTTTGGCAGCGCACTCGTTTAATGAGATGAATACGCCTTTTGGAGCTAATTAGCGGAGATTACAAGAGAGAGATGATGAATCGATATCCGATTTCCGTTTCTGCAATTCGCTCTTTTCTGTAATAATATGATAAATGTGTATTTCTATTCCTAAAGCAGCGCTCCGTGTTCCGTCGTGTATCAAAAAGCACTAGTATTTGCGGCAAAGCGTTTTACATGTAAATTATAGTGAGTCAGAAGAAACGTTGGTCTATATCATTTTACAGTGAAGTATTATGAATTGCATGCAGTAACAAGCTTTCTCGGAAAATGTCAGCAACGTAAGTCAATATAAATATCTAAATTAAATGACGATACTGCGAAAGCGAAGAAGCGTCAAAGCGGATTTAAAAATTTTCTCGATAAACAATTGTCCTAATTGTTATACAAAAATCGTAATCTCTACTTTGCTTTCGCGTTCCAACGACTCAACCGAATATTAATTTTTACAAAATGATTTCCAAAGAAAAACTCTTCTGTGTATTAATTGGAGTCTAATTTTGAATATTGCAAATTTTAATGAAACCGGTCTCGACAGTGAAGATGACTACGAGAACATTTTCATAAAATTTTTGATATTATGTAACGCAAATTTAAAAAAAGTTATTTTGCCATTTTCTTAAGTATATAAATAGAATGAAGAAAAGATTGTTTAGTCTGATAACACGATCATATAAATAAATATTTATGCACAACGGAACACGAAGATTGATAAGATTACACCAATCAATTCTTGAAAAATGATCTTTGAGATACCTTCTAAGGCAGTATTTGCAGCCAAAAGAGTTTAGCATCGTTTCACGACGACAGTAAGTACGGTGGTAGTAACATCATTGTTAAGTCATCTTTGTCTTATGTACAGTTTAGAAAGTTTATTTGCCTCGTCAAATACACCTTCTAAATCGGATGACTTCTGGCACACTTCTAACTCGTTATCGATTTTTTATACTCATGCAGCAGCTGTAATATTACAATAATAATTGCTGTATTAACACCAATTTACCAGCTTTGTGTGTGACTTGTCATTATTATGAATATTGTTAACTCCATATTGTTAACTCCATTAATATCAGTGCGCGCGGATTTTCGACGTGTTTGTTAGGGCGATTGAACAATTATTTACAATAACAAAACACTTTTATTCCATGTGACAACTCTACTCTACTCTACTCTATTCTATATACGTTCCATTCAACTAACAAGGGCAAAACTTTAAACTCATTCAGCACAAAACGTGTGTATTATGGATATATGATTAACTAATCTAATGACAATTCGTACGTCCGTCGAAAGAAAATTGTCCAGGTATACGAACGTGTGTGTTTTCTGGCTTTATACTTTGGTGGAAACTAATTACCTGAGGTCGTTGCCCCTGGATCTTCTCATGCCGCGCGGCGGATGTCGCGGTGGTGGCGTGCACCTGCAGTCACAGTGCATCACACACAGCGCGACGCTGGTCGCGAGAGTCACTACGAAAGGCGCCGCGAAGAAGTGCATGATGGTAGCGACCTGTGCCTCGCGATTATAGTTCGCCATCACTATGCTACCGTTCACCCGGCTATAATGGCAAGGAAACTTCGCGCCTTCGTAACCCAACTCGCGGGTGAAGTTCTTGCAATCGACTACCGGCGGATATCCGCAACCCTTGATGTTCACCAGCAGCACCGCCTCGATGTCCCCCGGAGAGGACACTGCTCGACAAAGAGATATTTTACAGCGAAGATTAGCGTCGGAGATGAATTTTTGTTTGAATTTTTGTGCTTGCCAAGCACGCATGCAATCCACAACGTTGATCTACCAAATCGAAATGTATTCCAATTTCACTTCGATTTCCCAGGCGATACATTCTATTTTATAGTCAAATAGCAATAGAGAAAGAAGTAGCGATATCCATTACCCCTTTTCCGAATTTTATACAATAGATTCCATCCGTTATGTCTCGAATTCTACGTTCAGGACGGTGACATAAATCGTATAGACTATCTCACGTTCAACAATGTTATGTTTCGAAACAAAAATCATAGTATGGTATTTCAGATTTTCTACCTCGTACTTTAATCTTCCTACCTCTTTCTCTACTACTTCAGCTCTTTTTTTTTGTCAATCCAATTTAACGTCCAATTTATTTCATCATCAATTATCATTCTCGCAATTATATTAGCTATACGAAAAGTATGAAAAAAATGGGAAAACTGCTAATGGGAACACTGCGACTTAGTGATCCTACCGGCAGTGACGGTGCCTGTGAGATCAGCCGTGGTGTTCGCGGTGATGTTCCTGCCGCCGGTGTCGTTCTTCATACTGGCGTTACTCCACGGCGTGTACGTGACGTATATGTGGGTGCAACTGTACACATCACTGGTGCATCCCTCGCGGCACGAGCTCCATGTGCAGTTGAAGAGACCAGCAAGGTCCTCGCGCCGCGAGGTTGTGCAGATCACCGGCTCCGGCGAGAAGTCCGCCGCTAGGGTGCTGATGGCTGGGTCGACGTAGAGCGGCACCAGGAAGAGGAGTGCCGCGCCGCCTGAGGTGGCGACGAAGGCCAGCGCCGATGTCGCGTAGAAATTAAACCGCTGACGGCAGGTACGCCGTGGCGGTCGGCGCCGCGACGCGCCGAACCCGAGCTCCAACAGCTTGCGACGACGTAGCTCCCGCTCGTGGAAGTCGTGCTCGCCGCCGCTGTCCCGACCTTGATGTCCCCGATCGTAATCGCTCTGGCACTGGCTGCAGCTCGCCTCCAGCAGGAGTTCGGAGCTGCTTCCGCGCATCACCCGGGACGGCTCTCTCGTAATCGAGACGACGCTACGCGGCTAAGCTCCTTCTACGACTTCTTCTTCTTCTTCTTCTTCTTCTTCTTCGGGTGGTGCTGGCTGCTGTTCGATGCTCGATTCTGCGACGATTCATCGAGCGCGCCGATCTACAGACCGATCATCGCTTCGTTAGACGTGACTTATAGGGGGAGGGAAGGGATTTTTGATCCTCCAGGATCAACTGTCGAGCAGACATGCATCGATCATCGGTTTCCGCGTGGACGATTTGTCCGGCAGGGTATCAGAGATCAAGTGAACTTGATTGCGATTCCGTCTTTCGCTAGGAAGCATTGAGCAAGGCCGTTTCCTAACTTGTTTGCGTTTCGAAATTCGATGTATAATCGTCAGGTAACTATGTAGACCGATGGGATTTCATCGAACGATATGAGTTGCTCGATACAAAAAATTAGGATATAATTTGCGCCGAAGGTGCAACTTGCGTTATTCTTACTCTCGATCGACGGATCCCGTGTTATTGTTTCACTGATTTACGCTCTGTCGTCGCGGATCTCCTTTCGAAATCACGTGGGGCATCGTGAAGATCTTGCAATCGATGCTGCGCGCTTCGCAAAGTTCCAAGCACGCTTTCTCGCGATGGCCTTGGCTCGACATTACGCGAACAGGATTCGAATGAATTTGATTACCGCCGCGTCAGCATCTTCTCAAGTTACTCGAGTGGGCACTTGTAAATCTCGGCATCGTGTGTAGATAGGCCACGTACTACGGTACCTCTCCTTGATTCACCCTCTTGACTTTTCAGCCGTGGAAAGTCCCTGCTTTATCACTATACATAACGACCTTGCACACTTTAAGGTTCCTTTGGGTTATCAAATTGAGTCGATCGATCACGACCTTTCAGCTGCTGCCGTTTTGCAGGAAATCGTGCATTTCGATAATGCGCGCGCGTAGCAGCCCCGCGCACATATATGAAAAATCGTCGAGAAGGCTGGTGATCCTCAAACGCGTTAGAAAAGTCGCGTGCTATTTTCGAAATTGTTAATCTGTTGATCCCAAGTTAGGCCTGTCGTTCGTTTTCGTTTATTATTATTTTTTTTTTTTTATATATCGGTAAGGCGCACGTTGTGATATTTGAACGACGGATATCGAGTCAAAGGAATTCGATATCGCGTATGTTAAACTTACATGACAAGCAGATCGACATGACACGATTGTTTCTATCCTCTACCTAATGATTCACCAGCTTTAAGACTGATCGCAAATAATGCTAAAGGAAGCCACAATTGTCAACATTTTCTTCGCTAAAGAAGGCGCTTTTCATCCGAGATGTTGGCCGTTGCGCAATTACTATCGTCAGGCATTCGCAATCAACAGCGGTCGAGACACTTGACGATTTGCCACGCGCTCTAGATCGATCCACCGAGGTGTCTGTACCTGTCTCTATCGGAAGAATAAAATACTTGGCGCACTCTTGGAGATTCAAAATCCGTGCGAGCCTCCGCCGATGAATCCTGATAGCGTCTTGACGCGATCTACCTGTCGTCCCACCTGGCTCCTGCGCCGAAGTATCATTCGCGGTAACACTAAACGGATCTGCCTTAACACCAACTCACATCCGCAACTGGTTGCCGAATTCTTGGCATCGACATCGGTTGTGCCGCGATCTCGAAATTCCCGTTGCACGCGCGACTCCTCGTCGTGGTATATCAATAATCGATCCGCCGCTGTCGATCCTTCCTGAATACATGGAACACACACACATACACACGCACACATACACCGGTCGCCACGACTGGATCACGATGATCCTGTTGATCCTACGATCTTAGAAGAAGAACGATGTCGCGATGAAGGCGCGACGGACCGGGGGACCAGGACAGATGTTTGCGGGGCCTCCTCCTCCTCCTCACGCGTACGAGCACCAGCGGCGTTCCTGGCGAATGCCGTCCGCCTCGCGGATCGCGGGTTAAAGCGTGACTATTCGACCACCTCGGCGAGGAGTCCTCGACAGGACAGGCCGTGGTCCGAAGCGACAGGGCGGGGTTCCAGGCGCGCATGAGCGACGGGTACAACCCCTCGCCCTCGTACCCCGTCGTGCCACCCCCGCGATGCATTCTCCTTGTTTACGCTTCTGCCTGTCCCGCCTTGCTTCTTCTACGGGATGTCCCGAACCCACCGTGTGATGTTTTAGCAGCGATCGAAACTCATTGACACACTGATGTCAATTTCTCGAGACGAGATATAATTTTGCGAGAACGACGTCCGCATTTTTATCAGAAAAATATATTGCAATATTTATATTGAAAAATATAAAATATAAAATATATATATTGAAAAATTTATTGCATTTACAGGAAGGAAAAATGCAAGAGAAGTTATCTGATTGTGTATGTTATCATTATATTCGTTTGAAACGTCGAATTTTAGGGATAAATTCGAAAAAAAATATCGAAACTTTATGTAAAAATTCTTAAAATATTTAAATATTTTAAAGAGAACAAATAGGAAAATATAACTGAGCTTAAAATTAAAAGTTGATTCAGAATTAAAAGCTTAAAACATTGAATTAGGAAATATTTTCTAAATTAAATTAAGCGGATTAAATTTCATTTAATTATGTTTAATTCATAAAAAATAAATTTATTCTCAAATGCTTGTAGCTCATTTTTAAAAAAATTGATTTATTTTGATAATTATTTTAAAAAGAGGTTTCTTCCCAAACAAATGGGAAGTCTTCAAAATATTACCCGATAGATCTGGGACACTACGTATATGTCGCGAGCAAGCAAAACTTTAACGCGCATTCTGTCTTTTCCCTCTTTTGCTGTTCTATATATTATTATCTTTTAATTACGTTCCGTAATGAAGCCAATTTTTTAATCGTGGAGTTTTAACATTTTCGCATCACAGCGCGTGGATAGATGTTTTAAGGTTCTTTACAAATTGTTTGACGGAAGTTTAATATGGTTGACAATCGAATTTGCATAAATTAAGAGGTAATCCATGATACAAAAACTATCAAAGTTATAATGAATTTTTTAAATATTTTTAACAAGATAATTTAACAAGAAAATATAATGACAATTCAGCATTATAAAATCAGTTCTTGAAGAATTTTGTGAGTCGTTGGGATGAATTAAAACACTCGCTTTCATCAATCATAATTTAAAATTAAAATGGAAACCCAAGCGGAGCAAAAAATCATCATGGCATCAAAATGGCGTCCGAATAATTCCAAAATGACTATTAAAAATCACTTTTCGATCAGTCACGATTCTTTTAACGTTATTTTTACGTTATTGTGACTTGTTGTTTTGCTTGGAAAAGAACCATTACACAGTCTTATTGTTGGTGGTCTATCGATCTCATCTGTCTCCACTTTTATTTACGGGCCTCCTGAAAGTAAACTCCTACGTGCAGAGTCTACATTTGCTCCAAAGTAGATTTTATTGCGCACTATATGATGTTATATACTGATAGTTTCCAAAATCATAGCGGTAAATGAGGGACGAGCGATCTACTTCTCTCTAGAAAGCCATCCTAATTGTTATGTGTATGTCATGGCAACAACATGATCCCCATAAGAGCATACCGGCCCTAACGATCAGCTGACGAGCGCGGCGTTGTTACCGATTGTCCTAGATCGTCCAAGCTACGACCCTACTAAAACTCGCCACTTGAATCGCGATACGCCACTTGAATACCCGACGATCACTCGAGAATTTATTATAACGCTTAGTCCGCGCGTGCTTCTCTGCACAGATTGGGAGATCGGATCGCGCTTCCGTTCACGGCCGAACCTCCGGTGATTTAGGTGACGGGTCGGAAACATTAGGTCACACCTATCGTCGACTGATAGCGACGATTCCAAGGAACGCGTGTCAGCATACTTATCGAAGTTCACGCTGGATACCCACGTCTTACGTTGATTGATGTGTATGCCGTAAGTTCTTAAAGTTGCGATATACTTGAGCTCAAGCTTCTTAAGCTATCAAAGTTTTCAGCAAATTAGTTTTTACACATAATCTTCCGCAGTACGGTATTACCAGCAGTAATTTTTTATTCTTCTATACTGAATTAGTTTCAAATATATAATTAGTAATGATTTTTATAATGGTGTATATATGTCAAAGTCAAAATGTTGACTGATTGTGAGTAACGTATATATACACTTACTATAGTTTGCTGTAATTAATGTATGCATTAATCAACAAACTTTACACTGTGCCATAATATGCTAAAAAAATTTACTAAATTTAAACAAATATTTATTAAAATTTAGTAAATTTTTTTTACAATAAATAAATACTTATCAATTAAAAAATAATACTTAAATCATCACAAATTAATAATTTTTGTATTAAATAAATCTTTATATTTAGTAAATATTTAGTTAATATTATTTAAATACACAAATATTCATTAAAACTTAATATATTTTTTTCAATATATCGTAGTAGATTTTAGGAAATGAAGATATCTTTTTTTATAAAATGTGCATATTATATTTTGAAAAATATGTTTTCTTAATTAGGTAAATTTTATTTGTATAAATTAACTACATTTAATTTTTATCCTATTATGTAGTACATACACATAACGGACATGAAAAAATATAATACTGTAAATAATATATGTATACACAGGATGTGTCCTAAATACGTTAATCAAAATCTTTTAAGAAATGAATCTTTCTTCTCACACATACAAATTCGGGATGAAAATTTTATATGAAGTTTGATCATATGTTGATATTAATGAAATGGCTTAGTTTTGAAGATATACGTCAAGTTGAAAAAAAAATTCGAAAATCATTTGGGTTATTTTGATGAAACTTTGTATGGTTTAAAAGACATGATGCCTCATCGTTTGAAACTATACAATTTTCTTTATTTAATCTAGGACGGATTCAAGGATAAGCGGATATACTTATTTACGAAAAAAACTGAAATTCCACTAAGTTTTCTTATGTTTGAAATTTTTTTTATAATAAATAGGATAAATCGGCAGAAAAAAGATTGATAGAATATGTCATTTCTGAGATCATTACCTTATAATCAAATAAAACAGTTTTGCAATGTATAACAAATTTAAATTTATTTTTTGTTAGAAATAACTCATTTTATTGAAAATATTAAAGAGACTTACAGAATTTTATCAAAATATATATATATCCCGAATGGTTTTCGAAATTTTTGGGAAAAACGTATTTTTTTAACTTTAAAATCATATATTCTTTAAAATTAAGTCGTTTTGGATTGGTCATATAAAGCTTTCGCCTTGAATTTGTGTAAGAAATCACTTATAAAATCTTTTAATATCTACTTCAGACACACCCTGTATATGCAGAATAAAGTATTTAAGAAAACATTTCAGAAAAAAATGTTTCAACGAAAGTTGTATCGTCTCAAGAAAGAATAATGATAATGAAATTATTGTAAAATTTTTGAAAAAAATTAATTTTTCAAGATTACAAAAAAATCTTCACTGGTTATTTTAATGGAATTATATAATTTTTTTAACATAATACGTTTCTCTAATTATTCTATATATAAAAGTATTGAAGTAGAGTTACCAAAAAATCGGAGATTGAGCAGAAAACTCTCGAATCTATACTATCCAAGGCAGAACATTGTAGACATTTCATCTACCTGATGAAGTGGATAATATCAAAGATATAAGCTGCATTTTTGAGATTAAACGAAGAATGGCCAAAGACGTCGATGACTATAGGCTTGAGAATATCTTTCAGATAGAGAGGGATCAGAGAGTCTGTGGCAGGACAGAAATCTTGTTCGAATCTTGATCTTTCCTATATTTTTCTGCGAAGTGGGGACTTAGACTATTCGAGCAAGAGAGAGAAAGGATCAACGCGTTTGAAATGTGGTGTTGGGCGAATGCTACGAATTCCATAGACCGTCAGGCGTACCGTATTCATCCTTTCAGAGCTTGGAATAAAAGATCGAATATCCACTGTATGCTACAAACGCATACTATATCCTCATTACAACCATATAACCAGACACGTAGATGACAGTCTTGAAAAATTGATAATCATTGGTAATATCAAAGAAAAAAGAGCACGAGATCCACCCTCAACTAAATGGACAGATCGACTAAAAGAAAATAACTTTTTCAGCACGATGAGGATAGCCACGGACAGAAACTGATGGAAACAATTCATATGCTTCTAAGTGGTTGCATAAAGAGATTTTAGTCATGAAGGACCGACGAGAGAGAGAGAGAGAGAGAGATAAAAAAATAAATATTTTACAAGATATTTTATATTTCATGTCAAAATGTGCCAGAATAAAGTATAAAATATAACTTAAACTGTATTGATTTTTTGATAATCATATATGGGAGCTTTCAAGCAGAGGCATAAATCAACACAAGAGTCATTGCGTCTTTGTTTTTTACTGATTATTGAACAAGAACAGAATAACTCTTGTGTCAATTTGTGTTTCTTGCTGGAATGTTTCCATTATGTACTATTATATCTGAATACTTTTATGCATAGAATAATGAGATAAATCAATTGGTTAAAGAAAACGCAGTTGCTTATAAAGAAATTATGTAATTTGTAATATACAATATATAGATCCTTTTTGAAAAACACTTACATGTCTTCTTTATATCAATTGATTCATTTCATATTATTTTATGCATAAAAATATTAAGGTATGTAATCATTAAAAAATTAATAGTGTTTACAAGAGATGTTTTACATTTCACATCAAAATGTGCACATCAAAATAAAACAGCTCCTGAACTTTTGAGTTTTCGATACTTTTATCTTAATATTTTTATTAGGTGTTGGAATTAATTCGTAGCGTTTTACAAGTGATGGGAAGTACTTTCATTAATGTATTTTTTAATGCTCATGTGAAATAAATAACATTCTTTCATTAAAAAACGCTACGAATTAATTCCAACACCTAATATATATAGAACAATTAGAAGAATATATTATTA